TTTTGAAACATTCCACCAGGAGACCATAGACATGCCAGGATGTATGTATTTAGAAGCCGCACACCTGTAAAAGAGCTTCTCCTCATTGGCTCTGATGTGGTTTCATTTCTCCCATGACGTGGTTGATCCTTGTACCACAGCTCAGGAACCAAGGCTTGCCTGTACGAAGGTCAGTGTAGTTTTACAGCGGCTGTTTTGTTGGATTAAATGGGTGTGCCAACCCAGAGTGGGGTGTTGCTTCAGTGGAAGCCAGAGCGGAACCTGAGAGGTGTTAAGGCTGGCGCATGCTTCTGCGTCGTTGCATCGACGCACTCGTTTCAATTCATGGTTCTAAAAGTCTTGCGTGTGTTGCAGAGCAATTCACCGCCAGAACAACAGGTGGAGTATCGTGTTTTTGTCGCAGCTTTTAGAAACTTGCACTGTACATAACTATTGTGGTTTAAATAACGACGTATTGCTGTCTGGAGTCATGATTGCTATTGCAAAAGGTTTCTTTAACATGAAACATGACCCTCCATTGTTCCTGCATTTTTAATTGACTGTGACGTAGATTCAGAATGCAAATCTGTTTGAAGTCACTAACAAAGCCTGAAAGTCACTGTCACGGTGTGGTTCACTTCATGTTATATTTTGTAGTTTTCTGCCACTTGTGTCCCCGGGTAACTTCACTTCCTGCCTTGTCCCGTCATCCCCTGTGATCGTCTAATAGTTTCCACCTGTGTCCAATCACCTGCACCTCCCTAGTGTATTTAAGCCGTGTGTCTCCTGTGTCACTTGTCGCGTCATTGTCTTTTTGCCACGCATGTTCTTGTCTCTTTTGTCTTGGATGCCCGAAGTTTCATGCCTGAGTGTTTTTGCCCCTTGGATTTTGGATCTTTTGACTATTAAAGTCTTTTGTTTTGGAAAAGTCTGCGTTTGAGTCCTGCCTTCCACCCCCAACCCTGACAGTCACGCACAGAGTACGTTGAGTCGGTCAACCGGTTAAAACAAGTGACTATTCACATCCTGTCAGTTAGAATCTCCAAAGGAATATTTGCTCAGGTAAGTCACGTGAAATGCTTAAACAAATGAAATATGGAGCCAATTTTCAGTTATATTGTAACTTATGTGTTTGTTTGACATTGCATTTGACTTCTACTACATTTATCCAATTGTGTTATTTAACTGTTATTGGATACTTTCTCAGTTTGATATTTACATAGTTAAAAATATGGCCGTGTTCATAGAATCAAACTTGAAGTTAGTAAAGGTATCAGGATTAAAATACACCAGAAAAGAAGCAAGAAGCTGATTATTTACTACGAACAAAGTTTTGTTACAAAAAAAAGGTGTTCTTACAACAAAAATATTAGACATACTGTCTATTAGAACAGTTATACTTGACACAGGTGTAAAATCATTAATCAGGCTCTAATGTTTGCAAACAGAAGACAGAATTTAAAGACATACAAGTCATGCATGCATGTCAGGCTGACATGATACAATATCCTGACATTAATACAAGAAAAGCGACTGAAAAAGGTGTCTCTGCTTCCTTTTAGTGCCCCTTTGTCACTGGAAAGTCAAGCCAGATCTAGCTTTGTCATTTCAGTCAAAAAAATTGCAATTCAATACCAGAATTATGCGCCGTTTGTAGTGGAAATGCCATTTTAAGCACTAAAGGCAGGGGATCTAATATGTTTTACAGTTTATTTTGTATTATTAATCAACTCCGTTACCCACAATGTCTTCATCTTAAATGTGAACTTCCTCAACCTTTTATAAAATCAAAATGCCTTCCATCACTCCAAAGATGAATGAGGAACTTTTTTCTTTTTTAAAGACAGATTTGGATTATGGTGTGTAAACAAATAAACAGTTGCAAGTTGTGGTGGAAATTTGTGGATTTATCCCATGTGAGAAATCAAAAGTATCTTGAACTTGCTTTGTGATTAAGTATTTATTACTAACTAGGATATAGAAAAATGATAAAGAATACAGAGATCAGCACAAGCCATAAGCACAGACGGAAGTCAAATGACTACAATTCAGCTGAAAAGGGGCAGAAAGTTCCTTCCCCCAAAAGGAGCAGGAAGATCTGACAAAGTTTCTATGGGGGACAAGGAGCTTTTATACATCTCCTGAAGGTTCGAGGAATGCTAACCAGATGTTGTTTTGGGAACCTCCACGACCCTCTTAGTGGGACCAAGTCAATCATTTTGACAGACAGGAAAACACAGGAGAAAGGTAAATAGAAGAACATGATATGGTCTGTCCAAGCCACATATGGCTTTCATCGTAGACTAGGTCAGGTCACGAGTTTCCCAAGAAAGGTCACATATGAGTTCTTGAGACTCTCACAATATTCACCTCAACAAATTCTCCCCCGACACAAGTCAACTGGACTGCATGACAAAAGAAACAACTTTAATAGGAACCGGTTCAATTGGAGATAAAAGACTCAAATTATCCGGTTCGACCAAGCATATTACATACAATGCACAGCTTCATGCAACCGCTTTCATTTTACAAACCGGCCGGACCAGTTCTTTCATCAGATCAGTTACGGGTGGTTTCAACAGATACTTGCTTACGTCAAACACGTCAATGTGAACCAACTTATTGCTGCCCTACAGCAGCAGATGACAGCAACATGTGGGATCGGTCACTCTTGTTCTTAAGGCCTGAGCTGACTGAAAGTTGGGCGAGGCCCTAACGTGTTTCGAAGAATTATTATTATTATTAGGGGAGAGCGGGGTAATGGAAGACACTTTTTCCATTTGCTCTTCTCTAGGCGAGCTACAATGGTATATCAGTAAAATTGACACATTTCTCATTAATTCAGGATGTTTCCTAGCAAAGGAAATTACAGAATGTCTTTAGGACAGAGGGCAGTGAAAATGATTGTTTTTTAACAAGTGGTCTTGTGTCTCACTTTACCCCAGCTTAGCGCTAAATCACTATTGCCATGTAATGTTATAAAAAACAATTTTTCAGAGTGTCAGAAAAATTCACTCGACACCGGCGTAAAATCATCAAAACAGGTTATTTAATGTTCGCAAACAGGAGACTGAGTTGACACACATACAAGTCATGCGCCAAGCCTGCTCAAAGGTTTTCATCTTTGGAGCAGGAATATATATACTGCAAGTATGGCATCAAAACATAGGGATGGTTACGCACGTACAGAGGACTTATTGTTTACCCTCACGGGACAGAACGTCCGTCCCGAGGCCAGCGCCCCTAATCTCGGCAGACAAGATGTCTGCCAGCTGAGGGTAGCAAAAACCTTGTGTAGTCTAGTCCTATTGATATCATGACACACATTATTTGCAGTTTTTCCAACAACGAGTTTTACATTTCAAAATGTCTATAGCGTAGAAATTTGAAAATAACTGCATTAACCTCTGATGCCCAATTGACATTAAATTTGCCACACATAAGTAAATCATGGTATTTAAATTCGCCTACTTAGCTTTTTCACCATTTTCAATTTAGTAAAAACAAACTTGGCTCCCAGGTCTCCTAAACGCTGATTCCAATACTCGCAGGATTTTCTGTGGATAAATATTGGTTCTATGTCATCAGAAATCATATAAAGCTTGTTGATATCTCATTGTTTTCAGACAATATGGAACAATGAACTTCTATGGGAAGTGGCTTAATATGTCAAAACATAGTGCACCCCTAAACCTATGATATTTAAAGACTAGGGGACACTGTAGTTAATCGTTTTTAGTTAATCTTTTTTTTTTTTTGCCCATTTCCATATTTTTTTAGAGTTTTAAAAGACCGAACTCCTCCCAGAGAATAAACCTGATACTTTTCCAATTTGAGCATTGTGATCTTGAGCTTTGCCTTTTAAAGATTGCATAAAACTAAGAAATATGAAACTATGTCACCGGAATCTGCTCCACATTTCTCATGTGACATGACATCCTTAGCGTGTTCCTCGCAAATTATTCAGATCCCTCCCAAATGTTGACAGAAAAGACCTAAGACCTTGATAATATTAACGATAAAGTTTGCAAAGCTTCATGCTCGGCGTCTCTCCACTCGGTTAATGACAACTGACTTGCGGACGCTTTGTCCGACGGCCTCAGGCATTCTCTGCCGCGTTTGTAGCCGCTTGACCGGTGCCCCGATGTGCGCGGTAGCAAGGACTTGAAGGTCTAGCCATCAAGTATCATCTCAAGGTTATTTAACATACGTACGTCAGTAGAATTTTTTTTATTTCAGTATGGTGAACAAAGTAAGCAGAAATGAGTTGGTTTTTTTTGTTAAAGGGTCATCAACTACATTTGATCTTATAACAGTATTTGTAGTAAGATATTAACATTTAAACATTGACAACAGTATATTCATAAGATTTGGGAGTTAGTCTATTAGATCAGATTTAATCCATGGTTACACTTTTTGTTATGACTAAAAACATGTATGAGACTCAAGGTTCTCGAAGTATGAAAATAAGAAGAAAGTATCCTTTTTTTATTCCTCGAAAGGGAAAGTATTGTCTGCATGTAACTCATGCCACACAGAGGGAGTAGTGTCCTGCTATAAAGGTGCCACCGGGGAGCAGTTAGGGGTATTGCTCAAGGACACTTCGACACAGGACATGGAGCAGCTGGATATGGAATCGCTAACCCTGCACAGTCTTTTCCATGCGCAACAGTCACAACTTTTCAATTTAAAGTATATAGGGATGATAGGGTTTGCCATTAACATGCGCTGAGATTGGTCCGTGGGCCAGCGTGACCTTTGTCAAACAGAAGGCTAGATAGCAGATATTACTATTTAGAAAGAGTTCAGCTGGAACTTTGTAAATGGTAAACATATGATAAAATATTTTAACGCAGTTATTGCAAATTTGATTACTTCCGGTGTAAATTGATCTGACCCCTGAAACCACCAGGTGATTCATTCAGATAGTTCAAGATGTAGAGAGCTTTTTACATTAGAAGTAAAAACAGGTGCGACAAACTGCTGAGGAATTCCACGACATATCAAACAGAAGGGCAGGGGAGTGGCAAACGGACCACTTTAGGACTGATAGTGCCCCGGAACATGTTGGTAGCTGCTAGACTACTTCCAGCTCAACATTAATCCTGCGTGGCACAGTCTGCAGAGGATCACCACAGTGTCCCTAAAAGACAATGGTTTGAAAAACATCCTGGCTAAATGTGATATTGTTGGCACTTCAAAACACAGCAGTCAAATGACAGAAAGTTGAGAACACAGCAAAGTGTACAAGGACGACAGCAAGAAGAGTCGCTGGTCAAGATGTTGCACCAGGTGGAATTCTGCCTTGGCGATGATCAGATGTGTAGTTTTGAGTTTAAAAATACAAAAAGATAAAGGCTTTCTAAAGTGATTACCCATTCATTTATAATATTTAGTCATCAGAAGAAAACCAATGATTTAAAAATGTTAGATTATATCTATTGACAGCCCTGTTCTTTTATAGATCTTTCTTTATACTCTGTTCCAGAGTAAGTGCTACACTGAAGGTGAAGACTTCTCACCATGAAGACATTTTGTACAAGAAAAGCTTTTGCCGCCATCGTCCTCTTTCTGATGGCATTTACCTTGATCTTTGTGCTCCGTCACATGGACATTCTGCAAGTAAGAACTTGTTTTTATTTTGTAATTATTTATTATTCAGGTTTTGTGGCAGTTTTAAAATGTGTTTCAATGTCCTTCATTGCAAATATTTGGATTTTTATTAAAATTGTATTTTCCCTCAATCCTGCACCTTGACTTGCTGACAGCAGCAGCTCTAGTCAAAGGATGAAACTAGTCAAAAGATGAAACTAGCACTACTCCAACTGACAAGCATAGCCACAGGATGTAGAAGTCACAGAAGGTTCTATTCATAAATTCAATGACAGGCAAGGTCCGGTACACAAAAATAGTTTAATGCAGAAGTTTAAAAGGCTCAGACAGAGCCGGAATCCGGACAATGTCGTAAACTTCAAACTATTAGTAAATCACTTACTAGGCATTGGGATATTGACGTCCTGAGAACCTGTACAGTCGGTATGAGACAAACTTGCAACGAACAACAGAGTACTTCCCTCATGTACACAACGGGAGGGCGCTTCAACCAGACACAGATGGACACAATCTGCAATCATCTGGGAAGATATAAGGGCGGTAGTCAAGAGAGAGACATGGTCAGTGTGAAAGTTAAACTGGAATCATTGTAAAAAATGTGATAATAGTGGATTATAAAAGTATATAATTGCCTAGATATGTACAGACAAAAACGTTGTCCAACTTACTGATTTTCATTTGTTCTTACTGAAGTATAAATCTTGGCCCAACTGTCCCAAACACCTGCAGTATGGAGAAGCAGACCATACTAATAGAGCACTATCCAACAACCCAACCCTTGCAACTCAAAAGGCCATGCAATGTTTGATGTATTTTGACGACATCTCTCTTTCGACCCCCTTTCAGCCGAAAGTCAAGTCCACCATCATCAAGCCGAGCGTCTCCCCTCATTATATTGTTAATCGCAGCTTCTGCACCTTCCAGCCGCTGTCCCCCCAGGACGCTTTGGAGGAACGTCTCATACTAGACTCCATTGCTTGGCCTGAAACTCCACTTTTACCATCTCCTATTTCCTTGGAGCAGACCACTGATCCAGCCCACAGCACCTTCACCATTCTCCCAGGAAGGAAAGGGGGGCAGTGGCATGTAGGGGACCAGCTGGAGGTTATGATACAAACCTTTGACTTCCAGGGTCGTCCCAAGAAGTCTGGGGGGGACTTCATAACCGCCCGTCTGCATAACCGGAAGCTTGAAGCAGGTGTGGTCGGGCAAGTTGTGGATCATCTGAATGGGAGCTACTCTGCTGTGTTCTCTTTACTCTGGGAAGGAGACGCACTGGTTGAGGTGATGCTAAAACCATGATATTCAATGAATCGGTACATAAAGTGTTTTTACTATCATAATACATTGTTCACAAAGTTTTGCCTCTTCTAATTTTCTATTATTACAGAGTCCCTATGGAGTTTAAGGTAACAGGTAATGATTTATTAACCTGAGACTTTTCGTACAGCAGGTTTTCATGTGTATAGTACTGTCAGTAGAAGATTTATTTAACTGCTAGTTAGTTGGTCTTAGTGTTAATAGCATGATTAGAAAGCCTGTAAGATACTGCCAACAAAATGCTGTTTGGCTGATGTGGATGGTGCTTATCATATTTCTCATCTTAACTTTGCCCGGGGTTTTAAATATGATGAAACAAGACGGTGCTGCCAACGTTAAATCTCGAGAAGCAGCTTGGCATATAAAAGTAACTTCACATTTGCATACACCTTAGTCTTGGAAGTAAGGTAATGTTATTATCTTATGTAAGTAGTTAGGTGACATAGAAAGCAACATGGTAAGTTCATACCAAAACAAAACATTTACTCAATTTTTAGGACTTTGCTCTTGTCATGACCCAGCTCAAAGGAGATTACAAATTCGGGAGAGACACAGTGCAAAGCCGAGTGGCAAACTGACCACTTTAGGACTGATAGTGCACTGGAACATGTTGGTAGCTGCTAGACTACTGCCGACTACAAAGCCGATATAAAAGTATATTTATTTAAGTAAAGTAGCAAAACCAAAAGTAAAGCAAATATGAGGTGTGTGTGCGTCAGTAGTTTCAGTCATATCAGTGTGGGTGCTTGATCATGCAAGGTAGAGTGTTGTGAACATAAATGAAATGCCAAGAGACCCAAACAAAGATGCAGATGCTGGCCAGGGAAACCAGCGACGCTGGCAGGCAGCAACCATGCGCTTTTATACCGCCGGAACCCCCAGCTGCTCTCAATCAGGTTGATGGAATCACCTCGGAGAAACAGACAATGACATCACAGACACACACTCTTGATTTTTTTTTTTTAACAGGTTCAAATAAGGTCAACCAACTCTCAAAAAAATGTTTTCATATGAGAATGCACAGCCTCCATCCTACGGTCAACATTTATAGCTTGACAGACCTTTCTAAATACTGTTGTTGAGCTTTGATTTGACAATCAGGGAGGTGTTTAGGGGAATAATTTGACTGCAATCAGGTGGCGATCTTGAAGACATAAATCTTTATCAATTTTATTTGAGGAGCTTCAATGCGATTTAACTTTGTGAAAGTGATTGTGGTTCTCTTTCCAATTAGGTGACTCTGGTTCACCCTGGTGAGGCCTTCTCAGTGCTGGACAGGCTGAACAAAGAACAGCCCGACAGGATTTACTTCAAGAGCGTCTTCCGCTCAGGCTCTCTCTCTGAAACCACCATTTGCGATGTCTGCCTTCGGCCAACCAAACAGCCGCTGTGTAACTTTACTGACCTCCGTACAGGCGAGCCTTGGTTCTGCTACAAGCCAAAGAACCTGGGCTGTGATACGAGGATCAACCACTTCATGGGAGGTACGACACAAAACATCAGCGCCAATGAGGAGAAGCTCTTTCACAGGTGAGGTAGTAGACACACTTTTGTGCGGCTTCTAAATATACACATCCTGGGTTTCCTATGTATCTCCTTTGTGGAATGTTTCAAAAGGTAAAATGTATTTAAATGTAAGGCCAAAGAGTCAGTCATACCGGTTGACATTTCTTTGGAACATATTATTTTTGCTCTGATATTTTTCTTTATCGCGTTTAGCAATGTTTACTGTTGTTTTGGGCTACAGCCTGCAGGAGCCTGTTTTCAATACGCTAATAAACTTGAAGTTAACGTTAAGCTTTCATTATTGAGAGTTGTTATAATATGTTGATAAGAGAGGCAGCATTCTCATTAATTCAACTAGTTACTGACATATGTTCTATAGATAGTGATCATCATCTCTGGGTCCCTCCTTGTGAGTGGCACATTTCACATTACTTAGTCATTGGATTCTGTGAAATATGAACTTCCATTAAAATTACAAAGTGGTTTTGTGGTTGAGGTTTCCGTTATCTTACTTGCGGTTTCCCATTGTTGTGCTTGAATGTTTGTCATTCTTCCATCTATGCCCTCAATGTTTGAGCATATTTGAGATATACATTTTGTGTGCTTTCCTTCAGTGGTGTTAACCTGAAAGTCAACATTCGGGCTTCAGGACCTGCAAGTGTGACTTTGTTGCCAGAAAAAATAGGTAAATATTGATATTTGCATTAATGCCACCACTACCTTAATAACTTTAATACCCCTTTTACAAAACGTAATTGCTCTTAAGGAGCTTGTTTTGGTTATTTAGGAGTGCTCTCTTTTTTTTTAAAATTTGTATTTCTTACAGCATAACTATATCCTTATTATTTTATTGTAGTTGTTCGTCCTTATGACCATCTCATACTGTTTAACAACTTATTCAACTCCTTCTTGCTGCATGTTTCATTTGCGACACAGCAATATTCCATCTTTGTTGGAGCGATAATGCAGTTTCTCTGTTTGATTCCCTCTTTGATGGAAACACTGAATTTATTTTACTTTTGTATAAACCAAAATTGCTAATTCAAAATTTGCCTCAGAGAGCTTTATAGTCACATTCAACATCCCCGCTTCCAAAACCCTTCCATCGGCACAGAAGAAACTCCCCTAAACCTCTTGATGGGGAGAAAAAAGGGAAGAAGCCTTTGGGTGAACGGCAGAGAAGGATCCTTTCCCTGAATGGAGAGACTGCAATGGATGTTATGTGTACAGAATGAACAACGTAGTTTAGAGAGGTAGTTTTTCTACACACAGCGAGCAATGATGAGAGAGTGCATTTTGGGAAGGGCTTAGTGATGGATCACGGGTGTGTGTGGATGGGAAGCCAATTGTTTTATGACCATGTCTCGAACAGACTGATCTGGACCTGCACTGGTTGAACCCGATAAGACTTCTCACGCTGTATAGTATCCTGTTACGTTACAAGTAATGAATGAAACATGCGAGAAGTAGTGGGATCATTGCTGTTTCTTATTTTTATTGTTTTCACGATATTCAGCCCACTTTTAAAAGATTGATGGCAGCATAGAGCACAAAGCTAACATGTTTAAATCTGGCTTCATCTGTTAGCAGTATATCAAGAAAGGGTAGTACAATAACTTCCTACCTTGGTTTTGTTGTTTTATGCTTATTCTTAAACCTCCCCTCAGGTCAGCTGAAGGTGAAAAGCGCCACTGTGACATCTGGACCCTCTGGTTATTACTACCAGGGCGTGTGGCGAGCAGTAGGTGGCCTCACAATTCACCAATTCAACACGTCTGCCATCACGCAGTGTCTTAAAGGCAAGGCAGTGCACATGTATGGAGATTCCACCGTCAGGCAGTGGTTTGAGTTCCTCAACGTAGTTCTACCAGGTAGCTGATCCACAGGGATATCTGGCAATGGATGGATTTTGTTCCCACAGCAGCTTAATATGTTTCCCCTGTCATACCTTCAGGTCTAAAGGAGTTTGATCTACACAGCCCGAAGCAAGCAGGACCTTACATCTCCTTGGACTTTGCAAACAACATCTTGGTGACGTCCCGCTTCCACGGCCCCCCAATTCGAATTGTAACTGTCTCGACCAGCGACCTTCGTTACATTGCCAATGAGCTAGATGGCTTGATCGGAGGCCCCAACACTGTGGTAGTCTTTGGCATCTGGGCACACTTTGGCACTTTCCCCATGGAGATCTACATCAGGAGGCTACAGAGCATCCGTAGGGCAGTGGTGCGGCTGCTGGACAGGGCTCCAGGCACGCTGGTCGCCATCCGTACAGGGAACCCTAAATTTTTAAACCTTTTTGTGTCCCTAACCAACAGTGACTGGCACTCGCTGCAGTGCAACAATGTGCTCAGAGCAATGTTCAAAGGACTGAAAGTTCATCTGATCGATGCCTGGGAAATGACCTTGGCCCACCACCTGCCGCATAATCTCCACCCACCACCTCCCATTATTAAGAATATGATAAACAATCTATTATCGTATATATGTCCTCAAAAGGGTGGTTAGTGTTTTCGGGGGGAGGAATGTGCAGTAAAGCACATGTTCATTTTACATATGTTCTTAGTTTCCACCAAATGCTTTATTTTTCCTTCATAACTTCATACTCAGACTAACAAGTTAATTGGAAGAAAAGCAAAAACATATTTTTCATCAATTTATTTGGTTTTTCTCTTGGTGTAGGAATATTCTCCAGCTCTTAAATAACATGGTTGGCGGTTTGAACCCAGGCTGCTCCATGTCTCATGTCGACGTGTCCCTGAGCAAGACACCTAACCCCTAAAAATGTAAAACGCCATTCTTCAACATGTATGGCAAAAAGCACAACTCTGTTGGAAAATCGAAATATTCCTGGATATTTGCGCAGCATGTCTCTACCAGCTGCAAAGTCAAAATGACCGATATCAAAGATTCAAGGAACTTCTCCAAACTCCAAATTTTAATTCCAAAAAGGAGTTAATAGAAAGAGGATTGTCCAATCGTTAAGGGCGCTTCTAAAAAAAGGCAAAATTTGTAAGGGTTCTGTGCATGACTTTTTCTCAATATTGAGCCATTGTACGTGTCATTCTTAATCCAAACTAAGGTTTAATTTGAGCAGCTCAGAAGTAATATTTAAAGTTTGGAAGTTTAAGACCTCCATTTAGCTTAGATATCTTTAAGGTTTTAAGTCTAATTCTAGGAAATGGAAAATGATTCTATCCAGATTATCAAAAACTGGAATTTCTATAGATAGCATCTGGAATAAGTAGAGGAGTCTGGGCAGAAGCGTAGTTCATCGTTCCAAGTACATCATTCATCGTATCAATGCGGCAAATTATTTTACAAATTCTGTAATGATGGAAGTGTAACCGTTAGACACCACTTTGTTTTAATTATACAGTCATTTATTTCTGCATGCTTTGACTTCCATTTTTATTGTTTGCATGTTTTGATTTTCTGTGCGTAGTGGTTAATATATTATTGCAAATGCGGTTTTATCTACTTTGTTTCATCGAGTGTCTAACGGGGCATCTTATTAGGGACAACAGGTGCGTTCCAGAATTGACACAAGTGTGCCACTCTGCCCCTTTAAAGAGCCTGGTGTGATACTGTGGAAGTCGGCAGTTGGAGCAGCATGGAGTAGAGATGCACAAGAGGACCTTGACAGAAAGAATTGTGACTAGTGGTTTTTAAAGAGCTTTTAGAAATCTGTACGCCATTTGGCTTTGAAGACACTGGTGAGCAAATTGTCCTCGTAGCGTAATTACCCACGTGAGCGTTGTCCGTGCTGGCCCAATGTGGTGTCCTTTTTAAATGAAGCTTAGGCGGAAATTCAGTCAAGAAGACTGGACAGGCTGTGCGGTAGTGATGGCAAAGTGAAGCTTTCTGAACCAGTGAAGCTTTCCAGCCAATTGTATCAGAAAAAGGTTCATTCATTCAATGCATCGCAAACTCTATGATGACCTCTGCTGTTAAAAACTTGTAGTGCAAATGTTTCGAATAGCCAACCAGTATATTTTTGCCCAATCTGATTATGAAAAGTTGAACCAATAAATCATCTAATAAATACATGGATTCCTATATGAATAAAACTGTTGTTTTTCAGGTTTGAATTGTGTCCTCGTTTGTATATTTCAATTCTCTGTACATTGGGAAGAAGTGCAACAAACACTCATCTGTCTTTCTGCACCTTTGTGCATGTATGTTTGTGATCATACTAACAGAATAATTAATAGATATATGAGTGTGAAATCTCAGTGTATACATGAAAAAGTGAGAAAATGTAGTATTTAAACAATGAGAATACCAAAGCGTACGGTGTTTCCCCCACCATTCAATTCGCTCTCAAGATGTTATAATTATACAATTATCCACTATGGATGAGTATCGTTTGGGGTTTTCCTGATACCAGTGCTAAAACGATACTTATAAAACATACCAGTGCCTAAAACAATACTTGTTTTCCATCAATTTACTTCAAATTATGGACAATACATAAACTGTTAACAGTTTACAGTAGACAACAGTCTCTGTAAGAGCCGGAAGTGTATGTATTACTTCATTGGAATTTTGGGAATATTGGTCATTGTGCATGAACTAAAGATATGTAACTTGTATTGAACGCTTTACACGAGACAAAAGTTAACGTTACACACCTAATAGTTTTTCAACTGCTTCTATAATTGGATCTTCAGCTCCACCATGTCGGCGAAGTCGTCCTGCGGTCGCTGCGAGGGCGCATCGCCATCGGCCATCTGAAGTACAAACCGTTTTATGAGCCGTTAGCTCGTCACATTAGCTGCTAGCTAACGGTCGAGTTAGCATAAAGACGCGTTAAGACGATTCTGCCAAGAAGAAACGCACCATCGAGAAGCAATACTTGACATTTAAATCATTAGTTCATGGGATTAAATAGATATTAACTCTGTGGTGGAAATGCGCAAAACTTACGATAGAGGGCCTGTCTTCTTAGTTAACTTACTGTGAAATAGAAAGTCCTTGTGGTGATTGTGTTTCTGTTTGTTTGGGTTTTGGCTGTGTTCTCCTGTGTTTGTGTGCGGCAGGGGGTGTGGCTGGCTGTTGGCGGCAACTGGACGAGGCACACCTGCATCCAATCATCCTCTTCCATATAAACCTGGGCGTCTCATCACGTCGACGCCAGATTATTTCGTCCACTACGAACGCTCGTGTGCATCATCGCCCGGCTCGTCGTCCTCCCCGTTGCCAGAATCCTCGCCAGCCAATAAACTCTGTTCACATATCTAACTACAAACCTCTTCTTGTCTGCTTGAGGGCCCAAACCTTCACCCAAACCTAACAGTCCTTGCGCTGACTGGGAAAAGAACCCGCCCAATGCGGATCCTCGTTTTTTTTTGGTAATGGCGTAATTAACTTATTTTCACCCCACTACACGCTTATTTAATGATATATATATATATATATATATATATATATATATATATATATTAGCTCACATATATGAAAACAAATTATTCATCGGCTTCAATCGCCATTTGAAAAGACTAAATATCAGAATGCTATTATATTCTATAGCCGTATAAATTAATGTAAACTAATGTAATCCCTGTAATAATGCAATTAACCCATTACTCCTAATGTGGTAGTCTGAAGCTACTTTTATCATGTTTCCACAGCTAAGGGGCATTACAATTGTTTTTTTGTTCATAATACTTAAATATCTCTGCTTCATGGAAAATATTGATGCAATTTGAAGATAATGCATATACATGTTAATGTAAAAATATGATCCATAATTAAATAAGATAAGGTCACAAAATGGTTGGGGTCCTGACGGAGAAGATAGTTTTTCTTTAGAAAGACTAAACTGTCCAGAACTGACCAGAAAATAGTTTTATTTAAATTAAATGTATATTCTAAATTGTATCATTGTCTTTAAATCTACCTCATTATTACAGACAGATGACTAAGGTCAATTAACGTTGAAGTAACAGCTTAAGTAGAAGATTATTTAATCGAAGGTGCACAAAACCCCCTGAGGAAGTGAACCAGCTGACAAAAAAACTGAGAGAAAACAGGAAAAGACTTCTCATCTGATAAAACAGCCAATCAAACAAGGCAAGGGGTGTTTCCAAAAACACATAAAGCAGGTATGAGAGGTGACATCTTGCCATGAAGCAAGGGCAATCCGACCAGAGAGGGGTGGAGAAGAGTAGCTTACCACTTTGAAGTGACGAGGCCACCATTTGGATCAGCTCACATTCAAATACCAGCAAAGGTTCGACACAGAGAAGGACTTTTTTGAGAACTGACACAAGTCGTAAGAATAAATTTCACAATGTCTTCGGGGCCCAGGGGAAGTCTCCTCCTCGGTGTGGCCCCCAATAATAATAATAATGTTCACGGGGTGGTCCCTGCTGGGAAGACCAAGAAACCTCCACTGCCCTGTCGCCCGAGGAAGAAGCTGCCGCCCCCGAGGCCTTTCAGACCACCAGGTGACCGTAGATTTACAGACTCCACAGACACTTGACCTACTGGCGATGATGTGGAGGAACTAATCCTTCTGTGACACGTGTCGTCCCACTCCGAACTTCAGCCGGCCCACCAGCCGGCCCACCTACTCTGCCCAACGAAAGGAGCGGGAAGGGCAAACCATCCGGACCATGCGGCCCATCGCAGGCAGAGCTCCCACAGCCAAGTATGTGCTGCTTAATACGAACTGTCTAGGGGCAACTGTACCGGTTAAATATTGCTGACCACGTTTGATGTTTTGCACTATCCGTCATGTCCACCAGAGAGCAGCGCTGTCATGGCTAATGTCTCATCATCGAGCGATATCCCCAAACCAAGGTTCCCCAAACCCACAGATGTGCCCAACAGGTAGGCAAAGCTAAACAATTCAAGGAGGAGGTAATGAGGTCCCTACGGCTAATCCGATGATGCTCCATTTCATCTGTCCACTCCCAGAGAAGGCAAAGTCCCCCGGGTTCCTGCTGTGCCACCACAGCCTGCTGAGGTGAACAACTCGATACCAAGACAAAGTATGGTGAGAAGCAAAAGAGGAGTCACAATCCATTTACATTCTTTTGGATACTGAGCAAAAATGTTTTCACTTCGAATAAACTGAAAAGCTCACATCTTGTGGCGCGCCTCGGGGCGCATTAGATGCTGACTTGTGCCTCATCATTGGATTCCTGACATGTGTTTGTATGTCTGTGTGTCGCCGTGCTGCAGAGTTTCCCCAGGGTGAAGCAGATGATTGACCATCACACCAACACCCCACTGCTGCTCCTCGAATACACGAACCGGAGCGCTGATTCTTTGACCGTCACCATGCAAAATGTGGGGGGGTTGTAATGTTGTTTGTATGTTTTAGTCAACGGAATGAGAGAAAATGAAATATTTTGGACCACGGCCGATGGTTTTGCACCGAGATGCGTTCGCTCAGCATTTACCTCTGTTCTCCACATGCTCCAGGGTTTCAGGTCCGGCCGGGGGCTGCTGCTTCAGCGCCTGTTGGCTTTTCAGAAAACGCCGGCTCAACGCAAACAATCAGGTTGTTTGATCACTGAGTGAACTGATGGTGAACTAAATGGTTCCACAATGAAAAAAGAGAAGCTCCCAACAGATGAAACTATCAAAACAATTTGGGGAACAGACTAAATTAAATAACATGGGCACTCAACCTTTTGACAAAATGTTATATTTTAGTATTTAGTAGCTTTCCACTCGGAAACTGAGAACAGCGCTCTGAAACAAGGTTGATTGACAACTCTTTTGACTGACTCTTTTCCAAAAACTATCTCCCGGGGCGAAAAAAAAAGGACAAGTTGCAACGTAATGCCTCGCATGAAAGCGACAAGCATGTGAGTGAAATCCTTCCGTTACTCCTATCTGCCCATCAGCAGAGTACCCTCTGACAGACCTCATCATGTAGCATCTTCCAACCACTGACATCTACAAGCAAAGGCTAAGTCGAGCAGCAGTTGGTGTGCAGGAATCCGATTTGGTTATCACATTTCAGATCTAGGATAACAGTTGCATCACACGCTTTGCATATTTGCAAATCGATCATCAAGCTCGTCTTGCGTTGGATTCTCACTGACGTTTTGGGGATGTAAAGGCAGCGGATTGGGGAATAACAAATACATGCCATTAGATCCATGCAGTTGGATATGGACTCCAGATCAATGCAGGGCTTTGAGGTGCCTCGTCCTGTGTTCCCCTCTGTGTTTTCCATCTGGAAAATAATCACATAGGAACAAAGCGGACTATTTTAACTTTGAATATACTACGGTGTCTCACAACTTGTAATGCTATACTAATCTCCAAGTAAAACATTAACATCAAAGGACATTGAATAGGCCCTGCACATTAAAATGGGTGACAGCAGTGTGATGAAACACATTAACGCTGCCGTTAATATTTCCATCGTTTGTAAAGATCTGCGTTTTGAAGGTTGAAAATGGCCCGACGGGTCCTCCGCCTCCACCGATTAGAATCAGCCCTGGAGGTTGAAGAAGCACGCTGACAGATTTCACCATTTGGTGCTTATCTACATGTCCTGAGATCATTGGTAAATATTGGTACCTTAGAATAGTTCTAGGGGAAGTTGCACCCTAAATACCACAAATACTTAACATACGTCAACCAAGCCTGGCTTCCTATTGGCCAGACGTAACCGACGTCATCCAAGCCTGGCTCCCTATTGGCCGCTCACGCACGCATGACATTATTTTGAAATTTCAGCGGTCGAGCTGTTGTTGTGTGTCACTGGAAGCTACACTGCAGCCTTTGTGTTACGGTTGGAAGTTCAAAAATAGTCGCAAGCGGTGGACTGAAAATGTCTTTTTCAAGAGCCCCTTTGAAGAGGTTCAACGAGAACGTAGGTGAGTGACGCTCAGAAGTAGCAGTTGCGTGGAGGCAAAGTATTCTCACGTTGTTCAACAATTAACGTTAGCTTTTAAGTAGCTTATGTTAGCTGACATGCGCTAACAGTTAGTGCTAAGGAAACGTTAAGTAGTTACACACGACGCGAATAAAAGCCATTAAAACTAAGCAAGCTAACGCACGATAGCTGTCTAAACCAACTAGGAAGTAGATGTTTGCCTCCATAACCTGGCTGATGTTGTGCTGTTGGCCGAAGGTTGTGCTCCTCCACCGGGGTCCTATGACATCAGACCCGGGGACCCAAAGGGAGCAGCTTCCTTCGACAAATCGGATCGGTTCAGACTGGTCAAGGCGGGTGCGTACACGTGATCTGCAAAATGCATCCAGGACAGAGTGCTTTGAAGGTTGGATACAACCTAAAGTTGTCTGTAATCTATCTCGACGTATCTGTTTCTCCAGCCGCTCTGCCACTTCCGTCACCCTCCAGAAATGCCCTGATGTCACCTGTCCGCAGGACCATGTCAGTCGATGGTCTTGTAAGTTGTCTTTAACATCAGTATGCAACGCTAACTAATCCACCCATAAGGCTCCTCAGTAACACATGAGCTATTTCAAAATCTGCTAATGTGAAAAAAATATGAAATTCCCTTGTGAAATCCTAGGTTGACGGTTCCTCTGTAAAGGAGAAGAAGAATGCCCTGACCATGGAAAGGAAGCAGCAGAAACTCTTGGACAAAGAGGTAGTGGCACTTTTCCAGAGGAACATTTGTGTTATAGGTTTACTAAAACAAATGCTGTGGTTTCTGTTTATTTTAAATGTCTTGTGTCCTTTTGTCAGATCAACAGATCTTTACAGAGGCTGTGTTGAAAAAAATGCCATGACCGTAGCTTTGTTTGCATCCAGATAAGGTCCCTGATTCAGCAGCGAGGGGATCAAGACCGTCGCCTGCTGGCTCTAGAAGAGGATCTGAGGAAGGTGGAGGCCAAGCTGCTGGCTGCAGTCAGGGAGAAGACCGGCCTCGCTGCCAATGTGACCACCCTCGACAGACAGCTGGTAGAGCTCAAGAAAGTTAACGAGTTCCTGAAAAACAAGGTGTGGTTGGTTGTGTTATTCAATTTTTGTGGGAGGGAATAAACAACAATCCTGTCTTTATTACACCTCGGTGCGTGTATTAGCTGCTAAAAAAAAGTGTGACCTTGTGCATTTTCTTTTAGGTTTCTGCCGACACTACAAAAAAGAGAATTAATTTACTCACAATGGACTTGATGGAAGCCAGGAACACTATGGATGTTAAAAACAAGGTATGACTTATTTACACATCTTCCATTGTTATAGAACACAATTGGCTGATCACATTTTCGGCTGCAGCAGATGCTTATGTATAGTTTGTGTGCGTGTGTGCGTCCAGGAGTTAAAGGTCCTGCAGATTACCATGGAAGGCCAAGCTAAAGTGCTAGAATCTGACCTGCAAGCTGCCCGGGCTACTGTCACTTCTCTGAAGGAGAGGAATCACGACTTGGGTAAAATTGAAGAGCATCAGATACTGCAGCAATGCAAACATGCGTGCATGTATAGAAGAATAAAAGTAGTGGCTCCTTTTTGATTTTTAACAGAGAACCTTCATCAAGTGACCAAAACTCTGAACGAAGAGCTGGAGAATGAGAATGCTAGATTGTTAGGTGAGTTCTTATATGCCAGATTTGTCCGCCTGTCTTGTGCATACAAGGTGTGCGTGCGTGCCTCCTTTCTCATCCGATTACTGATCATTCTCTTTTATTTTCCAGCTGTTATACGGGAGCTGAGGGAGGAGATCCAGGCTTTGCAGGGATACCTGGACACAGCCAATGATCAAATCCAGGTTCAAACTCTGCCTTTAGGACACATGAAACGGTCCTTACAGTTGTGGACATCTTTAAGTCATAAATTAAAAAAGAAACTGCCTTAATTCTGTTTGCAGGATCTCCGTTTGAAGCTCCGAGAGAAGACCCAGGAGAATTCTGCTGCTGGTTCTCAGGTGGAGAAAGCGACGTAAGCTAATGCCTACTGGATCCTCAAAGCAGGTTAGATGTTCACTGTATACCAGAACATTCATTTTCCACTTTCCCGCAGGCTACTAGAGACTGAGCTACAAACAATCCAGGCTGCATTGAGCCTGAAAGAGGAAGAGGCCCAGAAATTCCAGCAAGCGCTGCAGGTGTCAAACAATGCTTTAGTGGAGCTGGAGAAGAGGTTTGAGAACCAAGAGCTGGTGCTTCAATCTTCACAAAGGTCCATGAGTGACATGGAGGAGCAAATGGAGTCGGCTAGACAAAAAGTTCAGGACTCTCGAGCGACCGTTCGACAGCAGGAGGCAGATCTCAATCGACTGAGAGAAGTGCTCAGAAGGACCGAGAAGGAGCTGGACGAGAGGGTGGCGCACTTGGAGCAGAGGTGTCTGTTCTCTGAGGAAGAAAGAAGTATGTTCACCAAGATGTGTTCACAGGAACAACTTCATTTACAAAGGTTTATTCCTGCTGATGTGATTCACATATTGTGTCTTTTGTTTTAAGGCAAGACTCAGGAAGAGGGAATGAGGAGGGTGGAGGAGTTGAAAACAGAGCTCCTCTTGCTAAAGGAAGCTAGAAAAGAAGAGAAAAACGCTCAGATTCTGCTGCAGCACGAACATGCTGCTCTGAGTAAAGAACTGACAAAAGAAAAGGTTACCCATTCTTTGTTCATCTCACACAGCGCATTCAGTCGGGATTCACTGTCTGACCACCTCAACCGGGACTGACTCTTATTTCCTACAGTCCCTTGTCGACTCCCTGTCTGTGCTGGTGGAGCAGGAGCGGGAGGAGGCAGACGAGCGCCTTCGACAGCTGAAGGAGGAGATGGAAGAGGTGCTGGGAGAGCTCGCTGTCTTGGAGGACCAGGAGCAAACGGGGCTGGAGGCGGCGCAGAGGAGCCACGAGACCCTCGAGAGGCTGCAGGAGGATTACAGCGAGCTGGAGAGACAACTGAGGGAGACCAGGGCACTGCTGGAGAGGTGAGCAACCAAAGGCCAAATGCGCCGACGACGAGATGCGTTGACAGAAAGAGCGTATTGCGGCGAAAGCCTGAAAGTCGTGCTTGAATTAACGACGTCCTCCACACTGCACTTGCAAAAACAAAAGTTTTCCCCTCCTCCGGCTTGCTCCTATTTAAAGTCTGCGGCAGCTGGGAGCGTGTCCCAGGATGCACTGATCGTAAAGAAAAATAATTGACAGGTTGCCGGGCCTCGTGGGTCACTGTCTATTTTTGTGTAAACCCAATTTCAATGATTTCAAGTAACCTCACCACCTCCTTTTGGAATCTGAAGGGAAGAAGGGCACAAGTTGGAGGGAACTTTTATTTATTTTTTATTTCATCAGACAATTGAGAGTGGAGACAGATAAAATAGTATTGAATGACAACGGAGAATGTCAGTGTGTCAAAGTGAACCGTACGACCAGTCTGCCACTAAACTATATTTTCTTTATCAATTTGTTATTCCATCATATATTTAGGGATTTATTGTTTACTAGAATACGGGAGCCCAGGATGAACCGTTCCTATTCGATCCAGACGGCAGTCCAGATATGGAGGATATTCCGTTTATTTTCATACATGACTGACGTTGGGATCGTCACTTCTAAAAATGTTGTAAATAGTATAAACTAGTATAATTACTTCAAAGTAATGTAAATTACCAATAGTAAATGTGATTTAAATCATTATAAATTGAGATTGGTTCGTGTTATATTCTACATACAAGCATTTTTACCAGAGAGCAAATATTCAGATGTAACCTTTTTATATCACTCAAATTTGCATTGGTTTGACTTTAAGGTTTTGTCTTTTTAACTGGTTGCTTCTTAGCACTGTCTATCTCAATAAAATCAACACATTTCCAGGTTTTAGCTGCTGGTAACAGTTAATGTTTAGTATTTGGCATTGTAAACCATTTATTGATTATTGACTGTTTGGTATATCCGCTAATTGTATTAGCTATACTTCATAGCTCTGCAATCCACCATCGATGGGATTCTTTCAGGAACGGCCCGATGTTTCAGAAATAAGGTGTTCTAGAAATGTTTATGGTTTTAATGTATTTTCCACAGGCCTTGTACGTCTGTCAAATTTAAGCGCAGACAATTCTTCATCTGATCATCACATGAAAACTGATTGCTTATCATTTTTAGTAAGAGCAATGATGTGGCCGCTTTGAAAGCGGAGCACTCCTCAGCCATGGCAGAACTCCAAGGGGCGCACGCCAACTCCCTGAGCAAGCTGGGAGACCTTGTCAAGGAGCTGGAGAGGTGAGCGCCATTGTTGTCAGAATTCCTACATTGTGACCTGGAGTCACGTCGAGTTTGAACCTCAGTCAATGTGCAAACTTCACACACTGCTCGCCTTACTATTCAGCGCCAGAGAGGCTCTACAGGGAGCGGAGGGACGGCAGAAGAAACTGGAAGCCGAGATGGGCCGAGTGACGCAACAGATGAAGGAGGAGATGGACAAAATGCTTCAGCAGAACAAGGAGGAGGTCAACCGACTGAAGGAGGACTTAAAAGAGCACACGGAGAGGCAGGAAGCTGAGGCGAAAGACAGACAGGAGAATTCAAGGTATGCTTAAAATCACTCTGTGTGCGATGAAAGAACTGTCAATTTTCTCTTCTTTTTTTTTTTTTTACATTCCTTTTTTCATTGACTTGATAGAAATCTGCTGGAGGTGCAGACTCGCCTGGCACAAAAGGATGAGCAGATAAAAGCCATGGCGACGAGCCACGCAGCCCTGATCAATCAGCTTCAGCAGGAGCTACTGCTGCAGACAAAAGAGAGAGATGAGGCACTGGAGCAACTAGAGGAACAGAGAAATCGGCTCCAAAATGAGAAGGAAAAAGCCCAGGGACTGCTAAGGGAGGTCAACCAGGAAAAAGGGGAAATCATGGAACAGCTCCGACAAGAAAGAGAAGAGAAAGTTAAAGTTCAGGCGGCTCTTCAGGCAGAAAGGGGAGCATTGGGGGCTGAACGAGAAGACCTCCAGCAGGTCAGGTCAGAGGTGCTCGCTCTACAGATTGAGCTTGAGAGAGTACACAAGGAAAGGAAAAGTCTTCTGTCTCAAATAGAACTCAATGACCAGAGCAGGCTCGCTCTTGAAAATCAACTGAACGCGGCAGAGCGGGACAGAGATCAGGCTCGCCTGGATGTGGTTGAACAAGGGGGTTTGATCTTCCAGGCCCAATTAGACCATATGGAGGAGAAGACGCAGACTCTGCAGGGCCAGTTGGAGGAACTGAGACAAGACGGACGTGCTCTGCAGGAGCAGGTACGGCTACTGACTCAGGAAAAGGTCACGCTGCAGTGGGAGATGGAGGAGCAGCGGCAGGAACTTCAAGGACAAATTAATGAAGCACAGGAGAAAAGGTGAACAGGATTGGATTCTATAATTTTGTCTTTTTTATATCTATTTTTTTGCCATTTGCACAATTTAATCTGATATTCTTTTTAATCCTAAGCACGCAAGGCTCCGAGACGGAACACTGGAGGAAACAATATGAGGAGCTGTTTGCCAAAGTCAAGCCCTTCCAGGTCAGTCATTTCCACCACCGGGTCAAGTATGTCACGTCAATCTAGCCGAGATCACTTTGAACTGAAGCCACACCAATCAATATCTAAATTTTCATAGCGGGAATAAATGTGAAAGGTGCGATGCAAGCCCACATATTTATCACCCCCTTGCAGTTATGTGGAGCATTTTAGTGTCTCTTGGCTCATTCTTTTGTTTTTCCAGGCTACACCGTTAATGTTTTTAATCTTAATTTCACCGCTCTCATCAGCCTGGTTTCCAGCTACACACTGGCGTTCTTACTCAGGCTTGTTAGCTCAGTTGAAATAAATCCCTCCCAACGCGCCCACAGGAACAGCTCAACGCATTTGCGGCCGAGCGAAACGCACTACTGAATGAAAACGGAGCGAACCAGGAGGAGTTGAACAAGCTGTCCGACGCCTACGCCCGTCTGCTGGGCCACCAGAACCAGAAGCAGAAGATCAAACATGTGATGAAGCTGAAGGATGAGAACGTCAGCCTGAAACAGGTGATGCACAAGGACGGCACAGACGGCCTTCTAGACCGCCAGTTGAGTAGCTGCACTTCATCCCAGTTTCTTCTTCATCTGTCGGGTTGTTTGTGAAGGAGGTGTCCAAGCTTCGGGCGCAGGTGAGCCGGCAGAAGGCTGATGTGGAGCAGCTGAAGTCACAGCTCCCTGGCAACGTGGGTCGCAGGTTTGATCCCAGCAAAGCGTTCCAACACGACAAGGAGAACAGGCCAACCGAAGCACTTAAAGAAGGTGTGAATTACATTTCTAAATAATTACATATTATTGCACATATATAATACATAATATTGGATGGAAATGATTTTGTGTTCTTTGCTTGTTTTGTCAGGAAATCATTATGCATAATGGAGCTTCTCTGCCGGACAACAAACAAACTCAATTAGATTTCTATGGATTGGTCTTTTTAATGCTTTAACTCTTATTTGTGGACATTTTGTAACTGGCGTCATACTGTGGTAAAGCCTTTTTGAGTCAAATTGTGACAGAGCGAGTAAGGATGTATGTATCTGTTTAGATTTTAACAATAACTGCTAGAAGCAGATTGTTTCAGCAGTGTTTTAAAATAATAAGGAAATGGATGTCTGTACGTCTACACACAATGCAAAGAACAATAGCAAAGTCAGCATTAGAATAGGTGATACTTTAAGCAACGCTTAGGACTGCACAACCAGCATCTCCCTTCTAAGTCTTTCTTCTTTGTAAATAAAGTCACGTTTAATTACACTTCTTAAACAAAAGTATTACTGAGATTTATTTACTTCCCGAGTGTAAGAAAAGCCCTTTTCTGGTTTGATCTTCTCGGCCATGTCTGTCCTCGGCCAGTAGAGGTCACTCTTGGACTGCAGCCGCAGGTCGGAGCGCAGCAAAAGGCCGCCACAGGCCCATGTTTCCCCCACGCTACCACTTTGTAGAGAGGAGCCGTGCGTTGTGCGTCATGAAGCTGTATTTCCCTCCATTGGACGAGACATAGCCTGGGCCAAAAATACACCTCTTTTCGTTCATTTTTTTCAAAGTATGAGTCGTGCTCGTCGACTCCGTCGCAGTGGCCCCCCAGGTGGTAAATGCAGCATGGCTAATGCCTCTCTTCAACTTGGTCTGGAAAGGATCCCCTTTTTTTTAATTGGAGAAAGTTTCCGTAGCCATGTGTTAAGTCCTCCTGTTCCTAATATAAAGCTGCGGTTCATCAAAACACCATTTAAAGTCCTCCCACTTTAATGAAGACTTAATGGCTAGGTAATCAGATCGCCCATATCCATTTAGTCTTGTTAGGATCCACTTCCAGAGGGAAGATGTTGGAATCCCAACGAAGGGCAAATCATGGCTTACATCTCTAATGTTAAATTCAAAATATTGATACATTGTTCGAAGCTGAACATCCAAATAATACCTTGTGGGGAATATAAAGCAATTCTGCGAGGTTTGTTATTGGAAATCTATGAAACCAGAAGCCTGGCCACACCAGTAAATTCAAACGAGGTCAGAGACGTGCTCTGCACACTAATGGTGGTCCGGACGAATGCATAGATTAAGCTTCCAGCATGTTGTCTCTTAATATTTCTTTCTCCAGCTAGGATCCAAATTGGCATTCTCATTAGAGTGAGTCTGAAGTTGGAACGCGGCGGGCGGGGATGCATCGCCGACCTGGTGTGTCAGGAGCAATGTCCCGCTGTTCCTCTCTGAACTCCCACTGTCTGGGGGGACAATTAGAACCTAATTTACACAAGTCAAACAAAATAAGTCCAAACCGTTGGACCCGGCCTCACCGAGCGTGGTGGATTAGAACTGTAGGAAAAAGGCCTGCTCTCCAATACCAAGAAGAGGGTGCGAGCCGCATGTGTGCGCAGCAGGGGGACGAGGACTCTGCTGGAAAGCGGAGCGCCGGAAGGAACAGCACGTTGTTACTATGGAGGGGGGGGACCTCCTGGACAGCACACACAAAGATGAGTTCACAGGAAAAAAATGATACACGTCCGATCAAATCTTTATTGTGCACGTTTTCAAGGACGGGTGGTAGGACTGAATCCAGCCTGCCGCGGTCGGTACCTGGAGGCAGGGCGGTTGAAAGGTAAAGGAATGAAGTAATGTTCACAACTTGATCAGACCTTTTCTTGATTTTAAAAACTTGAGTTCAAGATACCTTTGTGATGTTCCTGTTATATTCTAACCGATAGCTGGAGGCTTTGAGAGTATAATGACTTCGAGATAGCACTTAGGCTACGCAGCCTCAAATAAGGGCTTTGAAGTGAGCCGAAAACTGAACAATTCATTATTTCATTGGAAATCAAAGGCCAGGGATGAAAAGCTTCGGTGCAACAAGGTCCGCTGAAAAGTCATTAGTATTTGACTCCGATCCCTAAATCTGACAGTTATTGTTAGCCTAAACTGCCAATGTCAAAGATCAAGGAAAGTGATTAGTGCAAAAATTCCATCTTCATGACCTACATTGACTTTGAGCTTTTATTTACAGAGATGATTCTGACTTCCTGAAGTAATTGGAGTCAACCCCGCTGTCCAACATAGAAAAAGAGAGCGTGCGGTCATTTTCTCGAAGCGGCATCTATTGCGAGCCAGACCGAATGCGCCTGCTTCAAGGTCACCCCCACACCTCGCTCTCCACTTTCAGCACCTACGGTGCTCAAGCCGGAATGATCTGTCCAAGATTACAGATCTGTCATTAGTGGCATTAGTCAAATCCCATTTGTGATGGATGCTCTCCAGAGCTGGAAGTGCGGCTGCCTTTTTTCAAGGTGAGAAACATATTTAGCAGTCATTTGGAAAATAGATAGACATTTTGTGGACATTTTATAGTGCACTGCAGATTATTGGATTGAAAATGAATCATTTTAACCGCGTCTTTAACAATGCACCTGTGCCAGGTATTACTGCTTTGGCGGAGCGCTCTAGCTGGCCCGCCGCTCCTCTATCCCTCTTGGACGTGTGCCAGGCTCCTTGGCACAGTAGATTGGTTGAATTATAGACCCTTTTCTGTGCTACTCTTTACTTTCATCCCCGGCTATTGAACACATCAATTTTAAAACTGGGAAGCTTGAGTGAATACAGAGAAACCTGCTTCCTTGCGTTTGAGGCCTCTGCGCAGCCGAGCAGCTGGTGGTTACAAATGAAAAGAACCGAGGCCTACTGCGCTAAGGAGGAGAACGTCGTGACGAGGATACCTTTTCTCCTTTACACCCGGGAGGTGAGAGCGAGAGAGCGCTGTCCCCCATTACGATAGCCAATTCAACACATGCTGTCGGGGGCCTCGACTGGGCCCCCCCCCCCCCCCCTCCCGCGACGGCAAAAATCACGTGTCATGTTTCAATCACAACGTGTAGCTTAGGGGACTTCCAGGCCTGTCGGAGACCATGAGCGGACGGTTTTAAGGCAGAGCCTTGTGTCGAGTCAAGAGGCACAAAGTTCAAAGTTATTGTCTTTATAAGTGTTTCTATTTATCTGCTTAACAGGATCTTTAAAAAAAAAAACCAAGCCTATGAATGATGAATGTTGGAAAATGAAACATTAAATTTGCAATCTAAAAATATACTTGAACGTTCCTGGATGCATTGAGCAGATGGGTCATCCGTGCATGGGGGCATTATTGTAAATGTATTCAGATAATGTGTCAATGCTCAGTTCTAACAATCTGTTACCCAGATAAAAGCTACTGTTTCACAAAATGGAATATAACAAATGTAATTTGGTGGTGATTATTTAGTGGGTTTGTCTTTCTATTAAAGCCTTGTTTTCTTTTTGACTCGTCTCCTGTCAGCAGCTGTTCTTTTTAATTGTAGTGTGCCTGCAGTATCTGAGGGTGGGACAAAGTTAGATGAGACGTGACACACTGTGTAATTTAATGTCAAATAATGATGCAATAGTCAGGCGCCCCGGAAGAAGCAGCACAGCGCGGCGGATTTTAATTGTTAATGTGTAGAATTGGTTGGGCTTCTGATAAAAGAACCCGTAAGGAATAAAACATTGCTAAATATATTGTGAGTATTTGTGAAATGTAGTGCTTTACCACTGAATTTAAAGCTCGCTGATGTAATGCTAATTTCAACTGTCGTTCAAATTATTAATGTAATGCGTACAAACCAGAATTTGCAGAATTTGCTTTACTTTTTGGGGCAAGGAAAACATAGAACATCTTAAAGTGGAGCAAAGTCGGCATGTATTTATTGTGCATGGCACGGCGGTGGGTTTTCCATCATCCACTGACCCTCAGGGGTGAGTTCTCCAGTTTTATGTGCAGGAAATAGAGGCGCATGTTCACGAGCACAGTGTCAGCTGAACTGTCCTAGGAACCGGAATAATTCATAAATTGTGTCGTATTCCCCTTTTAGCTGTCATGGCTGCATTGAATTTAAAGGTATTCACCAGCTGCATTTTCACCTTGAAAAATATCCTCTGGTCAAAAAACAGTCCAAGTACATTTTAACAGGAGAGTGACCTGAAGAGAATCTTCAATAATAGAGCTGTCACATAAGATAGCCCCATCAACTACATCTTTTAGGTTTATTTGTGATAGTCTACATATATACTTATACCTCATAGGTATATATACATATATACATCAGATCTATATGCAGGCCGTAGTGGTTGTGCTGTCACTTTATTGTTGTGGTCACATGGGCTGCAGCAGCGTTTCTCACACTGCAGTGGTGTTACAGGTGGGTCACATTGGGATATTCAGAATTATCTCATTTCAATAATTATATTGAGAACTTCCTATAGAAGTGAAAAGTACACGGACCGCTGTTGCCTTTCTCAAGATTAACATTGCTCAACATTGAGCATGAAATGAGAAGCCGTATTCAGTGTGCAATCCGGTTTATTATAGTGGAAATAGGCTCATTGCAAGCAGCTGTTTTGTTTTTCACAGGTTGCACGCTATCGTTATCTTCAAAATACGTTCAGTATAAAACAGGTTAATTACAGCCACGATAAACCATTTTTCTGCCAGATATTTATTTGCATTTTTCTAACAAGATGTTTGTACATTCTATTTGTTTTTGTCTGTAAGGAGCGATCTGGTTTACTTGAAAGTGTTTGCAATTCTTTTTATTCCATCATTTGAAAAAACGTAGATGGAGTCACAAAATGTTATTTCAATGTGAACAGTTTTGTTGGAGCGGTGGGGCATGAACATTTTCCTTCCTCCAAAGTGGGTCGTGACAGAAAAAGTTTGAGAACCACTGGGCTGTAAGCACCTTGTTACATAAGTCCAAACACTGTAGATGACTAAAACCGCCCGTCATGTTTGCTGTTTGTGGCGTTCATATGCATCTTTCCTTGTACCATGTTCACTACAACATATGCTCAACAAATAATCTTTTGCAGAAATGCCAGCAGCGGTATACTTACATTTTGAGAGGGATGTTTGAGAATTAGATTTCCGCTGTGCTTTTCACAGAGACGTATACAAACGCTTTGAAAGGGGAAAATGCAATACATTTGTTATCCGGCCTCTTACCGAGATTAATATGTAATCCAATCTAGACATTATAGATATAAAAGTAAATGCAATATAAACAACAGAGTTATACCAAAGCAGTTGGCATTTCCCATCCCAAGTAAAGACAACTGCTCCCACAGGACTTGCAGTAATGGGTTTGAGACCATTACATGAGTATTATGCCCTCGAAGTAAATGGGTCTGTTTTTCAATTGTTTTACGTTTAGATGCCTATATACAAGTTTAAGAGGTCTACATAGTTTGTTCTATAATACAATAGAGTA